ATTTTAAAAAATTCTACAGATAAAAATCAATGATCTCACCTCGTGTCCTCTCAAATTAGTAGCAACCAAGTATTCCTCTTTCTAGGCTGACATTTTCAGACAGGAGCTGCGGTGGTTTGAATGAGAATGGCCCATGGGTGAAGGGTGACCTTGTTGGAAAAAGTGTGTCAGTGGGGTGGTCTTTGAGTCTCTCTCTCCTCTCTCTCTCTCTCTTTCTCTCCCTCCTGCATGAGGATCAGGATGTAAAGCTCTCAGCTACTTCTCCAGCATCATGTCTGCCTGCATGCCACCATGCTTCTTGCCATGGGAATTAGGATAATGAACAAAGCCTCTAAAATTGTAAACCAGTCCCCAGTTAAATGTGTTCTTTTGTAAGATTTGCCTTGGTTGTGGTATTTCTTCCCGGCAATAGAACCATGACTAAGACACCAGCATTAACAATAATGGGTAACTCGGGAGCCAAAAGGCATAGTCAAGACCCTCGAAGGCAGCCCCCTCTTCTATTTCACACAGGCGCTCACACCGCTGTGCCCCGGACCTCTGCCTCTGTTCTGGCTTTGATTCTGAGCAGGGCTCCAGAGAAGGCCCCTTGCAGAGAAGGCCCTGTAAAAACTCTCTCATGTCATTTCTATTTCTCGACATTGCTTCCTCCCTAGAAATCACGGTGTAGCTTTAACTATTTCCCAGGCTTCCAGCACACACAGAATTAAACAAAGCATGCATCTGCCCCCTTTGTGCCCTGGCCTCAGGGCTCCCTGTACTACCTGAGATTGCAGTTCTTTAATGTTCAGGGATGCTGTCTTTGCTCCAGGCCTTCTCTCAAGGACTCGGGGATTGAATTTCTAGTAAACGTTGCTCTTCCTTTTTCTTCTGATGCTTTTTCAAGGAACAGCTTCCCCTACCCCTCCAACCGAATTCCTTATTGATCCTCTGGACTTGGGCTTTTCCTTCCATCTTTCCTCACTAGGGTGCATACAATACCACATTACAAAACCACGTTGGTTATTTTCCTATTGCCATGCTAAAACACCATGGTGAAGGCTATTTTGCAGTAGAAGGAGTTTGTTTGGGCTTACAGTTCAGAGGGTTACAGTCTACTATGGCCGAGTGAAGGCATGGAAGCAGGATCAGGAAGCTGATCATACTGTAAACAAGCAGCCCAGGGCAGAGAGAGCAAATTCAAAACAGAGTATGTCTTTAAACTCTCACTGCCCCCCTCCAGTGACACATTTTCACCAACAAGGCCATACCCCCTAAACCTCCCAAACAGCACCATCAACTGGGAACCTCAAATACCTGAGACTGTGGAAGACATTTCTCATTCAAACCATCACAGGTTACTCTAGAATGCTGTTGCAGCTAGACCTGTACACTGCTTGCTGGCAGGGAGCAAGCCCTCATCCCATCCAGCACTCCCCGCCAAGCACCTGTCTAAGCTCTGGGTCTGTCTAAGCAAGCAGGTCTCTCCAGTGTGAGAGTGATGGCGAGTGTGTCTCTCCAGTGTGAGAGTGATGGCGAGTGTGTCTCTCCAGTGTGAGAGTGATGGCAAGTGTGTCTCTCCAGTGTGAGAATGACTGTGTCTCTCCAGTGTGAGAGTGACGGCGAGTGTGTCTCTCCAGTGTGAGCCTTATAGCACTTGCTTCTCCCTGGGCCTGAGCTGTTCACCTTGTGATTCCAAAGAACTTCATCTTTGCCTTTTGTCTGCTTTCTGAGTCTCTCAGTAAGCGCCACAGACTGAGTCAACAACCAAGGTGTCCAACCCACGTAATGGGCAGCAAAATTTCACTAGTGAGCCACCCCACAGGGACGCGCTAACCTGTGGTCCGAGCCACCGGCCCTCTGCCCCTCCTCGTTTCCACCTAGGAAACATGCCAGCAAGCCTTCAGCAAATGCAATTATAATTTAAGCTGACTGTGATTAATTCTATCATCCTGAGATGCTTGAGTTTAATTCCACTAAAATCGCATCAGAAACCAAGGCAGTAAGAATGATAATTGAAGAAATTAAGCATAGATAGAAATCCTGTATGCCCTGAATTCTCTTGAAACGCCAGTCACTCTTATACAATTCGTCATTTTGGTGACACATTTTTCTCGTGTCCCAGTTTGCTTCCCAAGACTGTGATAAACACTGTAATCAAAACAGCTTGGGGAGAAATGGAGGGAAGCTGAGACAGGAGCTCAGGCAGAGGCCCTGGAGGAATGCTGTTTACTGCCTGGCTCCTCCTGGCTCCTCAGTTTCCTTTGTATGTACAGCCCAGGGCCACCTGCACAGGCGCAGTACTGCCCATCATGGGGTGCGCCCTTACCCATCTGTCATTAATCAAGGAAATACCCCGATGACACACCTGAAGGCCAATCTCATTGAACCAATTCCACAGGTGAGGTTTCTTCTTCCCAGGTGACTCTGACTTGTATCAAGTTGACAAAAAAAAAAACTATCACATCTCACTAGAAAGTTAATGAACAGCCTGGAAGCAGTGGTTCATGCCTTTGATCCCAGCACTTGAGAGGCAGAGGCAGGTGGAGCTCTGAGTTTGAGGCCAGCCTGATCTACATGCAGGTTGAGATCTAGTACAACCAGGGCTACACAGAGAAACCCTATCTTGAAAAAGAACAGAAAGGTTTAAAAAAAAACAGAAAGGTAATAAATAAAATTCATTTAACCATCACACACACACACACACACACACACATACACACACACACACAAATTAACCTGGCTATATCGTAATTTAAAAATTAAAGAGTCTTTGAGGTTGGTGAAGTCCATTCCCAAGTCGAACCAATCGCTATAGAGAACACCACATTATTTTCTATAAAATATAGTCTAATCTTCTTTCCATCTTGGAAACATTCTCTCTTAAAAGTATGTGTTTGGGGGATGGGGAAATGGCTCAACAGGTAAAAGTGCTTGATGCTTAAGCATAAAAAGACCTGCACGAAAGCTTGATAGTGTCCTCACCATGAATATAGCCCCAACACTGAGAGCAACAGAGACAGGGGGACCACCCAGCCTCAACAGTTCAGTAACGTAGAGGGAAACAAAGTAGTTTGCTCAGGGTTTGGGGAGAGAGCCTGCCTCCAAGAAATGAGGCAGCGAGAAATCATGAAGGACAGCCAGCACACCCCTCTGACTTCAGCACACTACACACATGCATACATATAGACACACACACACATGAACATAAAGACAAACAAATGTGTTAATTTTGTTAATCAATTACTTAGGGCCCTGGGGTACTCTTCTGACACTACTTAAGATTAATTTTATGGTAAATCATGCAGACCATAATTGCTATGGTAATTTTCCTCCAGATGATTTTCTGCATGAACCAAGCAAGGGCGGACCACTCAGGCACAACAGAAGCCATGTTCCTTTGTGCCCGGAGTGGCCAGAGGCTTTAAAGGGTTTCTCTCAAACCTTTCCTCAGTTTTTATTCTGAAGATGAAGTCCACGGAGCAGGCTTTGCAAACATGCAGCCACTGTAAATTAGATACACATAAAAGGAAGTGGTCTCTGGGGCCCCTTTCACATCTCCAGCTTTACGATTACCATTCTAAAGACAGAATGCTGCTTCCGCTCTTCATTTTCAGCGCACAGCTGCTGTGCAGACTTACTCTACACCGCAGAGAAGTACGCATGGGGACAGTTGCTTGATGCTGTTTGCTTGGTGCTCTGTTTTATGTTCCTTTCTGAGTTAGATTGCCAAGTGTTTTTTTTTTTTTCCTTTTGTCTGCCACTGCTCATATAACTGTGTGTTATAATGAGCTTTGACTAACTGGATTTTAATTTTATAGTATTTATAAGCTCTCTAAGTTGCTTTAATTGATATCGCTTCTCTCATCCCAAAACTCCTAATTGCATCTGTACAATTAATAAACACCAGCCTTCCTCTAGATGCCTAATTACTGTGAGATGAGATGGTTCCCCCGACACACAAGACACCTGTGTCCATACAGAATCCATGCTACCTACCACTTCCCTGTTTATAGTTCGTAAGCCCTGAGCTCAGAAAAATTCAATTCTACCTCGTTTGAATTCATTATTTTCTCATTATTTCTATAAGCTTGGCAAAAAAAAAATAGACTTAAGGGTGACGGGTAATGAAGATAGGAATGAAACAAAAACATTAACTCTGTCCAAAAATAACATGGAAGCTCAAATTCCTTTCCCTTCTCAGCAAAACACAGTAAATAAACGAGGCCTCTGGGAAATGAACTGGGCTCTGCACGGATAGGTCACGAGAACTCCCTGCTGAGGCTTCACGGGGAAGCAGCGAACTGCAGCCCTAGAAAACAGCCACAGTGTGCACAGAAATGTGCCCAGAGAAAACATGGCTAGCATAAATACCCCCCCCACACACACACACACACACAATCCCTCGCTGTGTTCTCATTGTTCAAAAGTGAGTGCCGGTCGTGGGAGCCCGCTAGTCCCTGTGCCATTGCTGGTGTGAGAATCATTTTGACAGTCTGAGCGATTTTCCAGTTTTTACCAGGAGGTAATATAGGAGTTTTGAATTTCCCCACTGAAATGTCTGCCTTTTTTTTTTTTTCTCTTTTCAGAGTCTCTACTGACACCACGTTTGGCTCCCAGTAAACCCTACACAGGCTGCATCCGCCACTTTGTGATTGACGGGCGCCCAGTGAGCTTCAGTAAAGCGGCCCTGGTCAGTGGGGCCGTGAGCATCAACTCTTGCCCCACAGCCTGACATAGCAGGACACGGCTCTTCCTCACACTGAAATAAACATAGAGCCACTGGGGGAGGGGTCCAAGCTCCCTCCCCCATGGAAGCTCTCACCTGGTTGAAGGGGAATTCAATAAATCAGAGACCGGCCACTTCCTATTTCTTATTTGAATTTACACTATGGGTCCAAAATGTCTGTGGTGGACAGCGATTGAAAAGGTGGCAGAATTCCTTCTATTGAGAACCCATGTCCTTCAGCTGGCTAAGTTATTGCTCCCGTCCCTAATAAAGTGGAAGGGCTCCAAACCAGCGTCAGGATGCCCATTGTGTCACTACGTTCTCAGAGTCGCCAGTCTTTCAGGGGAGGTCGTTCAACTTGTCCCCAATGTTTGTCCTCGGCTCCTTTGTCTTACCTTAGATTTCCTGACTTGTTCACAACCTACAATTAGATCATCCGTTTTCGTCTTTACAAGAGTGTTTTCAGTTTAGAGTAGGAGGACCTGGTTAGAAACCGCTCTCCTGGATTATGCTTTCATGGAGCTGGGGAGATGAGTCCTGAGTGGGGATGGGTCTGCATCCAAGCCTAATGGAGTTGGCTCCTCAGCCCCACACCATTGCAGGTTAACCTATGACGTCCCAACAGAAGCCATGTGTGCAGCAGCATTTAGAGGGCACATGGATGTGTGAGCATCAGCACTCACGGGTCTCGTGTATGTGTGCACACATTAATGCAGCACGATTAATAAAAACCCAGAGACAGAAAGTGGGGTTCAATCTGAAGATCAGAAAAGCAAATCAGCCAGCCACTGGCTCTTACCTCTACCTCATTCTGAAATGACGAGCCTGCCTCCAGGAATCTCAGAATGAGACTATGTGTGAGAGCTGTCTCCTCTTGTCTTATATTCCTCTCTAGGGCTGGGATTAAAGACGTGCACCTTTAGAAACCTACTGCCTGGTTTCTATGGCAAACTAACGTTGCAAACTGGGCTTAAAGGTGTGTGTCAGCACTGCCTGGGCTGTAAGGCTGTCGGTGCAGCTGCTTAACTCTCTTCAGGCAAGCTTTAGTTATTAAAATACAAATGGAATATCACTACACACATGCATAAATTTTTTAAAGGAGAGGAAATTGCAGTATAGTTTAATATTTTCTGGACTGAAAGGAAGCCACCTTTTTACAGAGCCAGTACTTCAGCCAGTACTTCATCCTCTTCCGCTCAGAAGATAAGAATCCCGAGTCATGTACCACTTAAAAACACACAGTGACCTTCTGAAACTGAAGCTTCACCATTTACATGACTCCGTTCTTAGATGAGACTTCACTCTCCCAGACTCAAAAGGAAAAGGGTTTCTTCCTCCTCCTCCTCCTCCTTCTCCACCTCCTCTTTCTCTTCTTTCAGCTAAGCATAGCATTATCAGTACTTGATACAAAGGGGGGAAAATGAGCTATGTGCTTTTTCTCCCTCATGGCCCCTGCCAGTTCAGAGCCCCTACAGAATGAGGAGGTCCTTGTATGATGGAGCCCCTCAGTGTGCCTGTGTGTAACGGAGTCCCTCAGTGTGCCTGTGTGTAACGGAGCCCCTCAGTGTGCCTGTGTGTGATGGAGCCCCTCGGTGTGCCTGTGTTCCACTTCCTCTCTTACAGCCACAACAGACTGGACAAGACAGTGCCTGGGATGAAAAGACGAGTGTGAGCCATTGAATATTTTCTCTTGTGAGTTTGGGTTATGAAACACGGAAATCAGACACTAATAGAAGTTGAAGCTGAAGAGATTTCAACTGAAATGTGATTTTAGAAGCTCAGGGCACACATCCTCAGGCATGCAGATCTTGGCATTGCCGTTCTGTAGATACAGGATGGCACAGCCTTTACCCTTTGTCCAGCAATGATTCCCCTCAGCCCTCAGCTGGGAATTAGGCCCATTCATGAGGGGTATTAAACAGTTTCTGCCTTTCTCTGAACATGTATAGTCCTTAACAATTATTGGGGGAGGGGCTCATGAGGCCCCACCTCCAATGAAAATAGGTTATTAAACATTGATAAAGAAAACCTTTTTCTTCAGTGATGTAGCCACCCGTAAGTTGCTCATGACTCTATACATAACCCCTCTCACATACTCCTGTAACTCCACTTCAACTCACAGATCCCCATGCTACACGTGGGTGGAAGCATTTCTGTCATTGGTGTCCCATCTGTTAGCTCCTCATAAAAAGTTCATACAACTTCAAAAATGGAAGCCAGGGTCTGGAAAGATGCCTCGAGGATTAAGAGTAAATACTGCTCTTGCAAAGGACCCTAATTCTTCTCCTAACACCCACTTGTTAGCTCACAACCACATGTAACTCCAGTTGAGGGGGCTCTGCCACCCTCTTCTGTCCTCCTAGGGTGCTGCAGGTACACTAGTACTGCAGACAAAACACTCATACATATAGAATAAAATGTTTTCTAGTATAAACTGTGAATTTCTGGATTGTTCAAAAGAGTCCAGAATCTTGTCTGGCATGTATATTCAGTAAATATTGCATGAACTTCAGGCAAGCAGAGTTTCCATAAAGGTTATTCCTTTCATATCACCTTCCAAGACATCATAATGTTCCTGGAAGGCTGAGAAAAGCAAAACTTGACATTTCTACTTTTGATTCCTTTGAGCTCGAGACTTGCTTGAGAGTGTGAGAAGACAGGAGGAAAGACGGACATCTGTCAGGAAGTTCTCAAAATCAGGGAATAAGGTAGGCCTAAGCTTACAGCAGAGGACACTGTTCCTTGAAGAGACCATGAGAGAGATATGGGATAGTCAGCGAAGGAACGGGATTGAAGGATGACACGTCCTGATGGTCTGTGTAAGCATGGGTCAGAAAGGCACAAGCATGAACGTGTAGGATGCTGACTCCAGCAGCCAGCTGCAGCACTCTCCCGAGCTCCAAAGGGTGGCGACAAGAGGAAGCTCGGGATTTATTCTGGTCAACCTAGCCAGATCACACTGAGTTCACAGTGACCTCTGCCCACAGCCTCAACAGTTTGTCTTTTCAAGTAGTCATGAGCTAATGTCAATGTGGAGGCAAGTTATGAAAATATGAACCACTCTGGGAGAGCATGCTTATACCCAGTAATGTGAGAGAATGCAGGGAGACAGTGTTAAAGCATCCATTGTGCTGCAAGGGTGTTTATCCTTGTAAAATCAACAGTGACGCTCCACTGTCAATACCGATTCTCAGTAATTTGTGTCTCTTGTTCTCCCTGACAATTCTACTCAACGTTTATCAGGTTTACTAATCGTGTGAAGAAAAGGCTTGGGTTCCACTGTTTTCCTCTATTATTTCTCTACTTCTTGCTTTTTATTACATTTAAGTACACATATGTGTGGCCATGTATGCTTTGATGTGTGTGCAGAGGCCAGAGATGACCTGTGGGAGTCAGTTCTCTCCTTCCTCCACTTGACTCCTGTTGAGTTGTAAGACATGGTTCTGAAAATATCATTGTTTATCTCTTCTCCTCACACTTGGTCACAGCAAAGTTCCCTGAAATCAGTCTTCCCTTTCACAGCCTTCACCGTGGAGTCTAGCCCCGTTCTCACTGTGGCAAGGACTAAGGACTTGGGATCTTTTTAGTTGACAGTGTAATTCAGTGGTAGGGTACTTTCCCAGCATGTGGGACACCCTGAGTTGGATCTCTAGGGGAAGAAAGAGAGAAGAGAGGAAAGAAGGGAGAAAGTGAAGGAATTGGGGCAAGGAGGGAGGAATAGCTAGGAAGAAGAAGGGGGGGAAGGACTTTTTACAATGGTTGAAACACTAATCATTCTCACCCTTGGATGAGCTCTTGGGGCCTTCTTGGCACCTGCCCTGCATTCTTTTCCTACTGTTGGGCAACTTTCAGTCTAGACTGAGTTTCCTTTCTCTAAGGAGTGTTGCATCTTTACTTGACAACTGTGTTACTCAGGGACCACTTTGAGTCTCATCTTATGTTCAAGATCAGGTAGAATTATACTGTCTCTTTGTTGAGGTAGTTTAGACCTATAGAGACAGGACTCAGAGCCCGCACTTATGCATGGCCTTTTCTCTTTAGCTGATGAAATTTCATTTACCTCTCCGCTCTGTATAAGCTCTGAGAATCTGGAATTATGACCATCATAGATCAGGCTTTATCTTGAATTTTCAGAACTAGTACTCTGCTATGAGCAGGACTTTTGAAGTGTGAAGTAGTCTGCCTTGTCCGATGCAGCTAATGGCTTCTCATCGTGTGTGTTCTACTGACCACATTTTTTGTTTTTATTAAAATCCACTACCCAGCTATTGGCATCACTCAAGTAGTGCCACCACCTTTATTTGTTTACGAGACAGACCACAGGATGATACCGGCCCATTACCCTTGACCCTAGTCAACCCTCGACAGAGACTTAATGCTGCTATTTGGGATGCATTTCCTTGCTGCTTGGCACAGGTGGCTTTCTCATTGTTGCATAGACAGTGATGGGAACATCAGTTATTGTCAGGCAATGACTTCCAGGGCATCTTCGGAGTTGCCTGATTGAAAGGGCAAGTGAAATAGAGTTAAGATACTAATAATTAGAAAATTATTCTCAAAGCAAAAAAAAAAGATCTTTTCAACTATTTCAATTCTCTCTGAGGCCTTCAAATGTCACAGAAATTGATAACACAGAGGTTCTAATGAGAGTCTACATGTACATAGCAAAGAAAATATGACTATTGCCATATATTTAATCATAGGAAATTCATAAAATAAAATTAATGCTCCAGATGTTCATTTTCAAGGGTATGCAGTAATTACTAAATGACAAAAATGCATGTGACTGTAGTATGAAAATTAATTCAGAAATGAAACTTCAATGGCAAAATGCATATGACTGTAGTATGAAAATTAATTCAGAAATGAGACTTCAATAACTTTGGCTGAGTAATTTTAAAACTAGAACATTTGTGGAGTGAAAGTTAACAAAATAATGCTCAAATGTGGGTAGAATCTCGGAGTTAAAAGAACACTTAGATGACACCAGTTCAAAATGCTTCCAGTGACTGAGCTCCTTTTCTGATAATCATCAGATAATCAGCCTTGGATAATGTAGCCAGTTTCATAAAGTATTGACCTACTAAGTATTGACCTGACTCTGTGACCCTTAAAACTCTCATCCATTAAGAGAACTAACAGTGTATTGTTTGTGGTTTTGCTGTTCGTAAACAGCAAGACAAATCCTACTTGCAATAGTCTGCTTCGATTTTGTAAAAGGATTTCACTCTCAGGGCTTTCACCTCTACTGTCGTCTCAGTCAGTGATCTAATCCAAGCAACACTAAGTCTGAGGTCTCCAGACTTACATTTGTAGTCTTGTACCTAGAACAATATTCTACACATAATTACGCTGGTGATTTGACGTTGATCTTGAGACTAGAGACACAATCTAGATAAAAATTCATGGGTCAGGGAAAGGACTGGCTAGACTTACAAAGTTATGAAATATAAACTTAAACCTGGGCTCTGTTGGTACTAATTTAATAACAGCAGTGTTTGAATTCCTAGGTTTAATTTTTTCTTGCTAATAGTAAATGTCATAGTTCATATGGATGATAGCCAATACCCATAACCTCAGTTGGCAAGACAATCAGACTTCACCTATTGGGTGACGTCTCTTTCCCATTACAGGCAGCACTGGAGCTCAGGCCTGATTCCAACCCATTTGAAGAATCTCCTCCTTCCACCGGAAACCTCCTTGGCTGGGTCCCAAACCGAAAAGGCATAATTCACTGAAATCCTAGAATACAAAGTTAGAATAACGGTGGTGCTTATCATTCAAAGATAAGTTGACATTTTTAATGCTACAATTTTGTTATACATTTACAAAAACATTCAGAAGGTGACATCTGAAGATTCTGAGTCTTTGTTATACAAATATCCCTTATAAACAATTTAAAGTTGTATGACAAATTCAAAATAGTTCCAAGTAGTATAAGCACATTGTGCCTATGTTGTGGTTAGCCTGTGGTTAACAGTGATGTCTTTATTGTGGGGGGAAAAAAGATCAAATTGCCTACCCATATTGACATCAGCAAGCTTGAGTCTTCATTCCCTACCCTTCCATGCCTCTCCACTAAGGTAGGCTTTCTTTGAGAAGAATTTCATACCCACTCAGATACTTTTAGATAAACCTTTTGTTCCTGTAACCATTTAGTCCACCCACCCCCTATATTATAGTGTGTAAGTTAAGCAATTGGCCTTGGGAGAGTTGGGTTCCTGAGTTACCACTGCAATCTGAGACATCCCAATATCATGATCTAAGTAAAAGCACTTATCAACCAGTGACCAGTGGGTTGTGGAGAGTTCCAGGCACAGGAAACAGTAGGTAATAATGAATTTATTTATGTACATGTATTGCATATATTTAATGTTTCCTATTTACATGAGTGTTTACTAATGCTCAGTATCTACTAAAACTGTTATTACTGACTGAACACTTACTATGTGATGTGGGATGTCCTCTCTTTATTGGACGTTTGTTAACAACTTGTCCAAAGAATAACAATAATATCTGCTTTCTGGGAATAATACGTTTAAAAGAGATAAATTATGGGAAATACAATGCCTGACACATAGTTGTAGTATGAGGCCACTTTGTTTGTTTTCCTGGCCGCCCAGACTCCCAAAATAATCACACAGAAACTATATTATTCAAATCACTGTTTGGCCAATTACTTGTTATATAAGTAGTTGCTAAGCTATATATATAAGTGAGCTGCTAGCTAGCTCTTATATCTAGTATTAACCCATTTCCAGTGTTTTACATTTTACCACGAGGTTTGTGGTCTACAGGCAAGGTTTCAACATATCTATCTCTGGCTGCAGCTCCATGGCTCCTCTCTGACTCCACCTCCCTTCTCCCAGCATTCAGTTTAATTTTCAGGCTCTGTTATACCCTGCTCAGCTATAGGCTCAAAGCAGTTTCTTTATTCATTAACCAATAAAAGCAACACATAAAGAGAGGACGTCCCACATCACATAGTAAGTGTTCAGTCAGTAATTACAGTTTTAGTAGATACTGAGCATTAGTAAGCACTCATGTAAATGGGAAACATTAAATATATGCAATATATGTACATAAATAAATTCATTATTACCTACTGTTTCCTGTGCCTGGAACTCTCCACAACCCACTGGTCACTTCTTTTACTTGCTAGACTAAATTTATTCACTAAGTTTGAATTTTTATTTCCCTTCCTTAGAGGAAGAATTCTTCCATAACCCTTATTGTCTAAGTCTTCATAGACCTCTCTTTGTGTTTTATAACAGTTATAATTTAATTATTCCAATTCAGGATTTCTCAGTCATGGTGTTATGAACATTTGAGATCAATTGATCCTAAGCTGGAGAAAGTTAGACTGTCGTGGGCATTGTAAAATGTTCTTCAGTATTCACCCTACAGATGTCAACAACAACCTTCTCCCAGAGTTTGACAGTTTAAAAAAGAAAAAGAAAGGGAAGGAAGAAGGGAGGGAAGGAGGGAGAGACGGAGGAAGGAAGGAAGGAAGGAAGGAAGGAAGGAAGGAAGGAAGGAAGGAAGGAAGGAAGGAAGGAAGGAAGAGAAGTTATTGCCAAATATCTCCTGGTAGAGAGAGAAGCAAAACTTCTCCCCATTGCGAAGCACTGCCCTAATCATTTTTTAAAATGTTTTAAATATCCTCAATCATTCTTTCTCCATCTTCGTCATTATTTAATCCTTTATAGCTAAAAGAGTTTGGGCACATAGTGGACATTTAATAACTCTATCTTGATTTAATTTACATATGTTTAACTATTAATACACAAGGGATGGGAAACAAGAAAATGCCTTTAAAGTGTTTCTTATGCCTAGTAGTCTATTCAAAATAAGTATTCATTGGAAGTAATAATAAAACTAAAGTATTCAGTTCTAAGAATTTGATTAGTAGACTGTGGCCATTATCAAGAAAGGGGATTTTATTCAGTGATGATCTTTATAAACACAGTCACCTGTGGTTTAAATTCACTATATGTATAAACATTAAGCTCAGGGAAACACAGACTTACCAAAATAGGCCAAGTCTGATTCCTGTAGAGGTGAATAAATCAATTGCTTCTACTGACTTTCCATAGAAGGATAGACTTGCCAAAGAAATGACGATCAAATATTCCAGTGACACCCAGAAATTATGACATCAGAAGATTCTTTCACATAGCTTCCTGCCTGCTAATGAATGGAACATCTCAGTTCACAGCTCTGGTAACAAAATGCCTGTTCAATAGAAAACTGAGGATTTCAGAGTTTTGTTCTTGTCAGTGCCTTACTTTTGACATTATGTATCTAAGCTATAAAGACATATAACTAATCAATCTGCATAAAATCACACTCCTGATTCTCCCCAGCTGAGACACATTTCCTCTTCATCACCAGCTCCCAGACTTCCTCTACCAATCAAGAGCAAGTCCCCCAGTCTCTCTACACCATTCTCCCACCTCAGAGTCGTGAAACTCAGAGCCAGGTTCACTGTGTCTCTGCACTTGGCCTCAACACAAAGGCTGAGATGAGATTCTGAATCTCTTCTTACCTGGAATTCTTCACGTCCTGGGCCATTTCTAGTCATGCCTGGACCACCCTTTTCTCCTGCTTCATCCAGACATCCTTGAAATTCCCAAACGGAGGGAATGACAGTTGGGAAGGAAAGACTCCATTTTATACAAACTTGTTAATCTAGTTCCTTGTGCTAGAGTTTCTTTCCTGCTAATCCTACCTTTAGGACTCCTTATCACCCCCCCCCCAATCCTGGGCATCTGTAGCCACAGCTGTTCCATTCAACGTTGGTCCTACTTTGAAGTGCTTTAGTTTAACCTTCAAGCCAGCCAATCTTTAGCTTTATGGAAGTCTTGGTAACTGCGTTTATACTTAGTCCTCACTTCTGTGCTTCAAAACTTCTTACAGAAAACTGACATCTTATCTAAGAGTGAAGTTCACATTGGATAAAAATCTTACCTCTATCTTCTTTCTCTTATGAGGGCTACATGTAAATACATTGATCACAATTTCATCTTAGAGAACACTAAGTTTAACTTACTGTGTCAGTCAGACAACTGAAGTAATTGCTGCCCATTGTTACCTAGCTCATGACTGTCATCTAACCAGATTCTTAAGATGCCAAACAAAGCTGAAGTTGGTATGTTTGAGACAACGTAACAGTGGAAATATGATGGGTTTGGGCGTCAAAACTAGATATGAATTTCAACAGGAGGTTAACACTGAAATTCTAAACAGATCACCAAAAGTTTATATGTGGAATGGCATTAAAGCCACAAAGTAGAGTGTCTTCAAGGCTGCTAGTTTTTAAAGCCACAAAGTAGAGTATCTTCAAGGCTGCTAGTTTTTAAAGCCCTGTGGTGCTATTTCAGCAATTTATTTGGTATGGGTTGTGTCAAGTTTCCTGTGCAGGTGGGATAATTAAATCAGATAACAAACTTATTGGTGAAAACTGGCAAGTTTAAGTAAAATATCAGAAGACCAAGTGGGTTTGATCTACAACAGTATCCACAAGCAATAATACGTAAGTATAAATAAGGAACAAAAGGATTGTGAAATCTCCAGATGTGCTCTCTTGATCATAAGCCCCAAATAATGACCTTTAAATAACATATTCATGAAATACAATAAAAAGATTGTAGTCAAGAAAACAGGCCTATTATCATACTTGATTTGTCCATCTAACATCCCCCCCCCCGAGACTCTACCATGAACTACACCATGTTAAATGTTAAAAAGAAATGAGCAAAAGCAAATAGAGTTTCTGCTCTAGTGGAGTTTACAGGTTAGATAAACTCTAGATGAGAATAGCCAATCTCAATGTAAAAGATAAGTAGGTGTTAACTGTGTAGAAAGGGATGGGACAAACCAGATTTCTTTGTCTGTAAACTCCACTAGAGCAGAAACTCTATTTGCTTTTGCCTGGGATAAAACCGGTCTCGCTGAACATAGCGGACAATGAGGACTACTGAGAGCTCAAGAACAATGGCAATGGGTTTTTGATTCTACTACACGTATTGGCTTTGTGGGAGCCTAGGCAGTTTGGATGCTCACCTTACTAGACCTGGATGGAGGTGGGTGGTCCTTGGACTTCCCACAGGACAGGGAACCCTGATTGCTCTTTGGGCTGACGAGGGAGGAGTGCTTGATTGGGGGAGGGGGAGGGAAAGGGGAGGCGGCGGTGGGGAAGAGACAGAAATCTTTAATAAATAAATAAATAAAATCAAAAAAAAAGAAATCTGGTTGGTTAGGGAGGGAGCAAACAGCATCGTAAGCAAAGGTCCTTTTCCAGGAAGAAAAAAGAGTAGATCTGAAAGGCTGGTAAAAACACTACTGACTGTCAAGTTACACAAGAGATGGATTCAGAAGGGACAGTGTACAATAATAAATGTGGATAAGTGACCACAAGATCAAATTTTAGTTAAATGACAACTTGGGAAGCCATAGAATTATAATTTCTTCTGAATGTATCCTATTCTCCTTGCAACCCTGGAGAGGATTTCCAAGTGTATCCACTACCGTATGTGCTTGATTGTGGCTTTCTTTTTTTTTTTAAGATTTATTTATTTATTTGTTTATTTATTTACTTATTTATTTATTATGTACACAGTGTTCTGTTTGCGTGTTCCCTGCAGGCCAGAAGAGGGCACCAGATCTCATTACAGATCTGTGGTTGCTGGGAATTAAACTCAGGACCTTTGGAAGAACAGGCTGTGCTCTTAACTGCTGAGCCATCTCTCCACCCCCCTGACCATGGCTTCTTAAATAGTTGGGCCATGTAACCAAATGAAATATTTGACAACCATCCAACATACAACAATCATAAATTAAAAATCAAGCAAGTAATGAACTTGTTGTGTGTCTGGAAATGCTTGCCTATCCTGGGCCGTGTATTCTCAAGGTTGCCTTGGCTCTGAGCACACAGTGTGCACACTTTGTAATAAACTTGTCATGTGTCCGGCAGTGCTTGCCTATCCTGGACTGTGTATTCTCATGGTTGCATTGGCTCTGAGAACACAGTGTGCACACTTTGTAATGAGCTTGTCGTGTGTCTGGCAGTGCTTGCCTATCCTGGGCTGTGTATTCTCACGGTTGCCTTGGCTCTGAGCACACACCATGCACACACTACGCACTCTACACGCCATCTACACTCGACACCTTAGCTCAGGTTGGAGATTGCAGGTTACTATTTGCAGTGTCTCTACTGTATGTGCACATTTTTCTGCTTCTTATAGAAACATAGAGGTTTAATTATAAAAAATAACCCAATGATTTTTAATATTTTCCTACTGTCACCCCTTAGCATATATCAAGTAAGTATAACTTGGGGTTGTACCATGTCACAATGTTTGACTTTTAAAATTGATGTTTCAGTTGCTGACTTTAATTTCATTTTTTAAAAGCAATTAAATGAATTTCACCCTGGGGTTAGGATAGAATTTCCAACAATTGCTGAAACACTACAAACGGATATAAAGATGTGCCCTGTTATCCATCAATAAAAGCAGCCTAATTGGTTTTTCTTCTTCTCAATGTTTCTTGCCAAGAAACCTGAAGAATTATTTATTCTGAAAACTGTGTAACTTAAACAAGATATAGTTACTGATGTTGATTGTCCTACAGAAATATTCCTGTGGAATTTACTGCATCCTTTTTATCCACTTTTCATTGTTTTGTATCATTAAGTATGTTTGTCCTTGCGTACTCTGTGTTCTCTATTGCAGGGATATCTACTAATCTCAAACTGAGCCATTGTGCTCCTCCATGAATATAATTTTTGATAGCTTCAAAAATTTTCACCTTTCCCTCAGAATTCTCTGTGACTACTCAAAGCCTTTTCTCTATATCAGTAATTTGATTTCATTTCTCTAGTCTGCTTTTTCCATGATTTTAAAACCTGTCCATTAATTCTTAAAGGTGGTTTCCTCTTTAATTGGTTTCCTTATTTCTTTTATCTCAAATTGGCTTATATTTTTCAATGCATTGTTCTAGTATCTTGTTACTGTGCTCATCATATTCTTCCATTGCTCCACAGTGCAAAGTACTTATGTAAATTCTCCTTCCTCCTTCTTAGGTTAGATTTTAACTCATATCATGTGCTTCACCCATCTTAACATGTCCTCTTCCTTCCTCCTTTCCCATTCCCCTCCCTTTCCTTCTTTTTATAACACCCATCTACATGACTATCGCTTTTTCTTTTGCTGATACTCATCATGTAAAATCTTCTTGAATCTATTTCTTCTATGTATTAATCAGTTATTACCCCGATACAATTACGCCCCCAAATCTCAATGACTTCATAACCAAAAAAAAAAAAAAATGTCTTGCTTGTAAGACTGCAGACAACCTGCCATTAAGTTCTTTCCATCTTGGCTAACCTATGTGCCTGCCCTAAGGTCCTGGTGTGGCTGGCGTGGAAGGCTCTAGCTCACCTGGCTTTTTAGCAGACACATCTGCCTCCCTCCAGATTGAAGTTACTGGCGAAGCTGGTAAGGATGTTCTTACAGCTCCTGCTGTTGCGCGACTTCTGGAGAGTGACGGAAGAACAGCACTGGCGAGTTCTACAAAGGCCAGAACACAGAGGGGTTGGCGCCTGAATCTGCTGAGTCCGCCTGATCCCAGCACAACTTAAGTATCTGTCTGGGTTTCGCAAATTTTGGAAGCCCCAGATTTGAGGATTTCAACCTTAAGACCCAAATGTCTGATTGTACCTTCACCATGGACTCTGTGCTCCCCAATAAGCAGGTAAAAGTAAATCCAGCAACTTCACATTTTTCTTAACTAAACTGTGCCCCTTAATTACGAGAGATGTAAAAATAAAAGTGTAAAACATCCGAGCAAAAATATGAAAGTATAAACTAGCCACTACAACTTCAAACTTCTCATCTTTCCAAAATGTGTAATAACAAACTATTATTTATCTTACTGGCAAAATAAGGTGTTCGAGCCAATCAAATGTTGTGGCTCATATCACAACACATTAATAGCAAGTATAACTTAAATTTTATTAAATCAAGACTAAATGTTTTGTAGTTTCTCAAAAATTTTTGTGGAAAAGTATTAATTTCATTAAGGTAGCAGAGTTCCTGCGGATTTGTGTGTGTGTATGTGCGCGCATGTATGGAAGCAAGATGTGAATGTGGAATGCTCTTCTTAATCATTCATTTTGCCTTTTTTTTTTTTTTAAAGACATTGTTTCCAGCTGAACCTGGAGCTCTCAGATTAAGCTACACTCCAGGGATCCTCCCTCCTCCACCCTTCCAAACCCAGGATTACAGGCTCCTGGTTTCTTTGTGAGCAGTGTGGATCTGCATTTAGGTCCCCACGCTTCTGTGGCAGCATTTTACTGACTGAGCCATCTCTCCGGCCTAAATTCATGATTTAGTTAAGTGAAATCTTATTTAATTTGGTCAGTAAAAATTCAGTTTCTGGAAATAACTGATTTTTTTTCAAACTTTGCCACCCCCCTATTCTTATTTAAATCCCGTCTACGACGAACATCCATCAAATGCCGTAACTTTGAACCCATCTGTTTTATCTTGCTCCCTTGTCCACTGCCCTCCTTGTCAGTGCCCCATAATATTTTAGGTCATGTCTTTGGAGTACAGCGTGCGAGTGTTCAACTACACTGTCAGCTGTCCTGAGAAGCTGGATTTATGTCTTCATTGCTTTTGAATTCTCCAGAAACCTTAAAAGTGAGTCTGAGGTTGGCCTCTAAAAGCTGTGCCATTGGGTCAGGTGTACCTAGCTCCGGGTGTTCTTGGAAAAGCCTATTTGTCTGGGGTTTCTCTGCGCTCCGTGACATTCGTTTTTCTGTTAGATAACGACACTAGGGCAACGTCCCGAGGAGTCCGACCCGCGGCCCTGGCCGTTAAGACTGTGCGCCTCTCCTAGCCTGGGATCGGTTTGAAAGACCCTTCTTTAAAATGCCACTCCGAAACCTAGTTACCCGTCCGTTACCAGGGCCTCCGGTGCTGCAGATGCCCAAAGATGTTGACAAGGCAGCTAGGATTTACCTGTCGGAGGCCCAGTCGCTATGGTAACAGCTAGTCGCAAATGCGCTTGCGCGAAAATCCCGCGACGCGATGAAACGGTCTTAACGACAGTGGCTTCTTGCGGCAGCGACGTGACTTACGGCCGCCCGTCGTAACGCGTCTTTGGGCTCGAATGTCGGGGCGGGAGTCCGAGCGGGAGCGCTCCCGTTGCTTGTCCGCGGGCCGGGATGACCCAGTCGGTGGTCGTGCAGGGTGAGCGGCCCCCTTGTCCCCCGGGTCGCCGCGGAGCCCAGGCACCTGCTTGTCTTCCTAACGTGCTTCTCTCTCATCCTCGCAGTCGGGCAGTGCGGAAACCAGATCGGCTGCTGCTTCTGGGACCTGGCGCTGAGGGAGCACGCGGCGGTCAACCAAGTACGCGCTCGCCCTGGGCCCCCCACCTGTCACCCGGGCCCGCCAGCGGAGAAGAAAGGTTTCTCTTGAGGTTCTCGCTACGGGGCCCAGCTCTGGTCTCACTTGAGCAATTTTATCTATGCCATAAATTGCCTTTATATCTTTATCATAAGTTGCATAGGATCTTCTCATGCTGAACGTAGCCAGTTTGATTTTTAAACCCATGTTGCTGTAAGTCACAGGCCAAAGAGTTTGGTCTTGGTTGTCCCTAATTCTCAGCGGTCTTCCTTTTTTAAAAAGGCAGTAGGTTCTATCAGACGATCTAGTATCCCAGGAAATTCTCCCTTGGTGTACCAGCTGTACAGTCCTATAGGGCATACATTTTTCATCACTCTCTCAAATTTAACCCATGAGTTCTATAGGTATCTTACTCTTTAGACTCAATTGGAAGAACCAACCTGGGTTGGTGGCCCTTTCAGCGCTGTAGAATTACTAAAATTGGAAGGATTTGGGAGAATATAAACTTAAATGCTTTATTTGCTTTGTGTTTAGAAAGGAATTTATGACGATGCACTCAGCAGTTTCTTCAGGAACGTGGATGCCAGGTAAGGGGCTGAGAGTCCTTCTTTGCATTGGCATTGATTCCTTCCTGTTGGGTCAGCAGAGTGGAAGGCTTGCTTAAGGGGTTCTGGAAGCAGTCCCCGGCTGTGATGGTGTCCGCCATGTCTGCTGATGTGACTGAAGACCGTTCTCATGTCACGTTTTCATACCTGCCGAGCAGCAGGCTTCCTTGACAGGAAGGAACAAAAGGAGCCCTTAAAGAGACTGCATTAACTTTGGAATGATGTTTCAGTCAGAGAAACCTCAAGTTTTCATGTCATGGGTCGGTTTTTATTGACTATTTGACCTTAGTACAGAGTTTCTCAACCCATGGATTGAGACCCCCTCAGGTCCAACAACCCTTTCATGGGGGTCACATGAAGAAGAGCTGCTCTACAGGGAGGTGTTAGAGCAGTTCACTTATCAGAGGCCCTCAGTACCCTCTCCCTCGTCCCGTGTTCGCAGATGTGTCTGGTTCATAGTCCTTTCATGTGCTTCTCTCCCTAGCTCACTGCCACGCCTTCCTTTCTTGATAGTCGCGTCTTCGGTTATTACATAGTTGAATAGAACTAGGTAGGCCATGCGAGGGGACTAAGAGAAGACAGAGGTGGGGGCAGAAGGTCAGTATGCGACATGAAAGCAGGAAGAAGCTTTGGGGAGAGAAAGAAAAGCAGAAGTGTTTGAAAAATGATATAATGAAACCAAATTCTTTGCAAGTTAATAAAATAAAATTTATCACATATTTGACAGTCTGAGGATTTTCAGGCAATTCTCATCTACCTTGTGGGTCATATACTTTTAAATGAAAGCATTGTGTTTCTCAGTCTAGAGTTCGGAGAGGAGGAAAAGGCATGGACATCTCTTGTGGTGTGGGTTCCAGCCTCTGTTCCACAGGTGTGGTACCCAAAACCTCTTATGAAAACTGCTACCACATCTTTGTGTACACCTGCCTATCAAATTGATCCTTTTTAACAACATGGTAGGAATATACCAACAGTGGAGGCATGAAAAAACAGATAGCAAATACTTGGACACTTTTCAGAGCATAAGGTCTGTTGCAGGTATTCATCTGCCTTCGGTGATAATAGGCACATGAACAAATGCAGGTGGCTGTATTTAAACAAAATTCTCTTGAGCAAAGCTGGGCAGCTGATTGGCGTTGACCTGGGGATTACAGTTCACTTACTGCTGGCTTGTTGTACCTGTGTTTAATCAGCTCCTCATCTGGTCTCTGTCCTGTGAGTTATATTGACTTGTACGCTATGCTTATTCACAGGTTGTAGTAAAACTCTAGAAATAGACTGAGTGGTATGTAGTCTTATATCATTTGATGTGTTGGCCGCAGCAGAATAGCTAATTAACAATAACTTAAACAAAAAAGATACCTACTTATCTCACAAAACTGGAAATGCCTCAAAGACATGGTTACTGAGGCTGGCAAGGTGGCGCAGGAGGTCAGGGGCTTGCTGCCAAGCTGAGGACTTGAGTTTGATTCCCCTGACCAGTATGACAGAAAGGGAAAGTAAAAGTGAACACTACCAGTCCTGGAAAGTCTTATGATCCTTTCTCAATTTCTTTATGTTTCAGAGTGGGTGGTGATGGCAGCAGTATTTCCAAAGGAAGAATATCTTCGTTAAAAGCACGAGTAAGATGCATTTTCTAGGGTTCTTACTTTGTAACATGGCAGTAAAATTTGAGTTAATTGTTTCTCTGCAAGTTTGTCTTTCCCTTCTGGTTGTTGGTTAGTAGTCTTTGATTTTAAGAAAAGGAAGGTTAACCAGGTGTTGGTGGTGCACGCCTTTAATCTTACAATATATTACATGAAGAAACATTTTAATTAACCTTAAATTGTAAAAAAGAACAATATAACTTACAGCTCATGAATTCTTGGATTTATAAATTACTAGAGAAAATATTCCAAATTTAAATTCTCTTTTTTCAGGCAGTTTTGATTGACATGGAAGAGGGAGTAGTTAATGAAATTCTCCAAGGACCACTGAGAGATGTATTTGACAGCAAGCAACTCATCACTGATATTTCTGGCTCAGGAAACAATTGGTGAGGACATACTAAATGTCATTTGAAAAAGTTGAGCATTCACTGCCTTGTCCTAATAGGTCCTTCTGTAATGAAAGCAAAGTGCAGTTTGCCACACAAAAGTATATGCCTCCTCTTTTAATAATTAATTAGTTGATGATGATGCTTTATGATGCTTAGAAGCTGCCAGGATTTACTTTCAGTCCCACTTCTGCTTTAAAAAAAAAAAAAAAAATAGAAAACTAATCATGAGAAATTAATATCCTAAATTCTTAAATGTTTTAAGTACTTTTAAAAATTATTCATATTCAACAGCAACACTAATTGCAAAAGCCCACAAACTCATGGAGACTGAACAATGCTCAAGTGAATTACCACTGGGTCAAGGAAGAAATAAAGAAATTAAACACTTCTAAAATTTATTGAAAATGACCACATAACATATCCAAACTTATGGTACAGAATGAAAGCAGTGCTAAGAGGAAAGTTCAAGCACTAAATGCCTACATAAAGAAGTTAGAAAAATCCCACACTAGTGAATTTAAAAAGCACCTGAAAGCCCAGAACAAAAAGAAGCAAACTAGCCCAGAAGAGCTAGACAACAGGAAATAATCAAACTGAAAGCTGAAATCAACAAAATAGAAACAAAACAATATAAAGAATCAATGAGACAAAGTGTTGGTTCTTCAAGAAAATCAACAAAACATATAAACCTTATCCACACTAACCAAAAGGCAGAGAGAAAATACCAAATTAATAAAATTAGAAATAAAAGGGGGATATAACAACATACATTGAGGTAATCCAAAGAATCATCAGATCATACTTCTAAAACCTGTACTCCACAAAATTGGAAAACTTAAAGGAAATGGACAATTTTCTGGATAAGTATCACATACCAAAACTAAAGACCAGATGAGCAAATTAAATAGGCCTATAACTGCTAAGGAAATAGAAACAATCATCAGAAGTCTCCCAACCAAAAAAAAACTCAGGACCAGATGTTTTCAGTGCAGAATTCTACCAGATTTTCAATAACATCAAATTGTTCCAAACAACAGAAACAGAAGGAAGATTGCCAAACTCTTTTTACAAGGCTACAGTTACCCTGATACTCAAACTACAAAAAGACACAACTAAGAAAGAGAATTACAGACTAGTCTCCTTCATGAACATTGATGCAAAAATACTCAATAAAATACTGGCAACTGAATCCAAGAACACATCAAAAAAATCATCCACCATGATCAGGTAGGCTTCATCCCAGATATGCAGGAATGCTTCACCATAAAAAAATCCATCAATATAATCCACCATATAAACAAGCTGAAAGAATAAAACCACCTGATCATCTCATTAGATACTGAAAAAGCCTTTGACAGAATTCAACACCCCTTCATGATAAAGGTCTTGGAAAGAGCAGGGATACAAGGAGCATACCTAAATATAAAGGCAATACGCAGCAAGCCAAGAGCAACATCAAACAAAATGGAGAGAAATTCACAGCCATCCCACTAAAATCAGAAACAAGACAAGGTTGTCCACTTTCTCCATATGTTTTCAAATAATACTTGATGTTCTAGCTAGAACAGTAAGACAAAAAAGATCAAGGGGATACAAATTGGAAAAGAAGTCAAACTTTAACTATTTGCTGATGATATGATAGTATTCATAAGTGACCTCAAAAATTCTACCAGGGAACTCGTAAACTGATAAACACCTTCAGTAATGTAGCAGGATACAAACAAGATCAACTAAAAAAAAAATTAGTATCCTTCCTTTATACAAATGATAAACAGGCTGAAAATGAAATCAGAGAATCATCACCCTTTACAATAGACACAAATAACATAAAATATCTTGGGGAAACTTTAACCAAAGACCTGTATGACAAGAACTTTATAAATCATTGAG